TCCAACTGAAGTGAAGGGGGCACTTTGGAATCGAGACAGAAAAATTTTGACCCTGTTTTAAAATATTGTAGTAATTTTTGACGCTTGTTTCCAGTCAATTAGACCGAATTAAACACTCTTTCTTGTAATTTTTTGTCTACAACTGACAATTCTCGAGAAAATTGGTGGAAAACAGTTTTATATACTAGGAGCTCAGTACTTGGAAAATGTAGTCAATTTTTAAATTTTGATAAAAATTATTAATAAAGTTTGTAAGTAGATTAGACCTAGATAAACACTATTTATTCTTTCCTTATTCCGTTTTAGGTCAAGGAATTGACCTAAAACATGTTGGAAAGTGCAAACAAATTTGCGTCTCGCTGACAATAATCTCCTAAGAAGGAATCTCACCCTGAACCTCAATTTTAAACTCTAAACACTTTTTACAACAGTTTAATCAGAAGTCATTGACTTTAAACACATTTTATCAATTATTTGTTTACTAATAACATTTTATTATGTTATAATATTGTATTGACAGCATGTATTATAATATTAAACTAACAATGAATCTCACCCTGAACCTCAATTTAAAACTCTGAAAACTTGTTACCACGGTTTAACCAGAAGTCATTGGCTTATTTATTTACTAATAACATTTTATTATGTGTTATAATAATAGGGGTTAAAGTATGAAATTGCCGATTTGTACTGAAAATCTAAATTGTTTATTTTTTAAATTTTTAATCAAATATATAAATTTATTTAATCAAAATAGTTGCCATTATTATCTATACATTGCTGCCATCTAATGGGAAGGTTATTAATGCCTTTGCGATAGAACTCCGACGATCTAGACTGCACAAACTGTGTGAAAGCCTTTTGTACTGCCTCCTGGGAAGAAAACTTCTTGTCACGTAGATAATTGTCCAAATCACGAAAAAAATGGTAGTCCGTTGGAGCAAGGTCTGGTGAATACGGAGGATGACGAATGGTTTCTAACTGCAGTTCCTGAAGGGTCAAAATGGTTTCTCGTGCTGTGTGAGGTCTCGCGTTGTCGTGGAGCAATAATGGTGAAGATCGATTCATGAGTCGGGGCTGTTTTACTGCTAGTTTTGTCAACATGGTTCGGAGTTCGGCACAATAGACATCTGCCGTTATTGCTTGACCAGATCGGAGAAAACTATAGTGAATAACACCATGCTGAGACCACCAAACAGTTACCATTACCTTTTTATTGGTAAGTTTTGCTTTAGGACACTGTTGTGGCATTTGACCTGGGGTCAGCCATTGCATTTTTCTTTTCCGGTTATCATAAAGAATCCACTTTTCATCACATGTTACAATTCGATCCAATATTCGTTCATTTCTGTACCGGTTCAACAAGGCAACACAAGTTTCAACACGCGTTTCTTTCTGCAGATCAGTCAAATCATGAGGCACCCATTTTTCGTATTTTTTTATTTTATTGATTTGACGCAAGTGAGTCAATATTGTGGGTAAGGTAACGTTAAACCATGCCGCTAATTCCTGGGTAGTTTGACTAGGATTGGCTTCCACTATCTCTCTTAATTCATCGTTATTCACCTGTGTGGGCGGTCTTCCTCGTGACTCGTTCTTTAAGTCGAAATTTCCATCACGAAAGCGTTTAAACCAAAATCGCACGGTGCGTTCATTAGTAGACCCCTCTCCAAACGCAGCATTGACTTTGCGGGCTGTTTCTGCCGCGTTAGTTCCGCGTCGGAACTCGTATTCAAAAATCACACGAATTTTCGCAGTATCCATCTTTCTTGTCTAAATTGAATAACAAAAACAATTGAAAGTCGATATTCAAATATTTCAAATTTAAAAAAAAAAACACAGAAACCATTTGAAAAAAGTTTCATTCGAAAACCTCAAACCATGAAGATTCAATGAAAATTCAAAGAACCTATTGCAATAAAACGGCAATTTCATACTTTAACCCCTAATATTATTAAATCAATATTGTAATTATAATTTAACTCATTAAAATGCTAATTACAAACATCATAGCGTTTATTACATAGAAATAACATACGACGTATATTCAATAATGACAACAAATGAAAAGTTTCGCCTGTGGCCCCCAGGGACCCAGCGTTTCTACCGCAAAAGGCACAAACCTCAGCAATGTTGCTTTTCTCGGTCGCTCTGGCCTCAGAGCCTGAGCCACACACGCTTGCAAGGACATGGGACGGAGCTACAGTGTCCACACAGGTTGCGTCCCAAACATAAATAAGTGGCACAAATCAGGGACTCCAATTGCCAACTTTTATTACACCTCCATCGAGTACATAACCGGAAATAGACCCGAAGTGTCATTTAATTGATTTGAAAACTATTCTGCCAAATCATTACGGTGACAACTGCGCTCCGATTGGCTAGCCCGAATTCGAAATAATTGGCGGGTGTCGTCAATTGTTTCACTTCAAATCGACCAATTTAACTTGAGATATTGAAAAATTACTTTTTATTAATTACCGATGAAATGAGATTTCATTTGTTTTGTATTTAATTACGTTTTGCTGTTTTTCCCACAACACCGAATGATACAGTCCCTTTTAGAGATATTATCTTTATTACAATAAATACAGAATATTTTTGGAATATACGGAGACGTAAACACAGGTCAGTTGTTGGCGCTGTACTATTTCAGTTTTCTAATATGTGATTTCAGTGCAAACGAAAGTTGATATTTAAACGTGATATAAGGCCCAAGGCCTGATGAGTTGCCAGGGATGGACTGCCCTTATTTCTTCTCTATTTCTGGTTATATACTCGATGCCTCCCTATGAAAAACTTAAGGTGCCTTGAAATCGAATAATATAATAAACGTTTCACCCAGCAACTATACTTCGAAAACATACCGAAATGGTCCTTTCCCCATCCATTGGCAATACATCCTTTATAGCTCGAGAAATCTTCATCCTGCTCCGGCATGCATATGACGTTGATGTGGGGTCCTAGCTCTACTGGTTCCTGAAGAAGTAGTAGCGCGTAGTCATTCTTCAAACTTTTACGTTTGAAATCTGAAACAATAAATTATTTAACTACGTTTTTATTTCTTTCTTTTTTTATATAATACTAAGTAACGACGAACAAGTCCTGCACCTTGTCTCAGCTTGCGTGTCAAGGCATAAAACACACAATTCTATAATTCAAATGCAATTTCAATAAATATTTTAGAAAATTTCAATACTCAGCCAAGTATTTTTGAAATTGGTTTCATTGCCTAGTTTGCTACCCTTAGATGAATATTTTATTCAAATTTAAATTGGACCACTGCTCAGGTACCCTCTTTCCAACAAAAAAGACTCATCAAAATCGGTTCACAGTTATCGCGTAACATACATACACAAGAGAAAACATACAGTCGAATTGAAAACCTCCTCCTTTATTTCAAATCGGTTAAAAATCTATATGATGACTCCTAGATTAGTTTTAGTACAGAGTAGTGGACAATCTTAAAATGACCTAAATCATCAGAAAGATGGCTTAAAAATAGCAAGTGCTAATTATCTAAAATGCAAACTAGACAAACATTACTTTAAACAATAGCTCGTGGTCTTTTTCACAATAAAATGTAGCTCATTCTGAGTGCATCTGTTTAACAATATTATTAAGAGAAAAAGCAGCGAGTTGTTGTTTACATTTTTGATCTCGAATTAAATTCAAAGCCCCGGCCACACGCCACGGGGCAGACGAACGTTACCGTCCCTGCAACTAACCACAAACCCAGGCAAATCCATACCCAAATCCGAGTCCGCCTGAGACGCCCGTGAAGTCTCGCGGGTCGGTAGACAGGCTACAATCACGCTTTTCAAGGCCTATTGTCAAGTAGACTAGCCATGCAACCTGGTCCAACTTTACGCAGAAGGCCATTAGCGCCTTTAGCGTCCAATATAGTAACGGCTTCAGGATGTTGATGACGCTGCCTCGCTTCTGCAGCGCAAATGGAATGTTTGCGGAGGCGCATACCGATGAGTATTAATACGCTATGACGCGCAGAAAGACGGCTTCGCTTATTGCAGACTGCGGGCCAGTGCCAACTCCATCCTGATGAGTATGGTAGGGAGATATGATTCCCCCATTATGCGCCATTTCCTTTAGGTGCTTGTTAGCAAAAGGTCTTTGTAAGAAAAATCATTTGCAGACAAACACCATTAAATACTAGTATTTAGTATTATTTCTGTTCATGTTTTTTTTTTTACTAACGTAGATACTAAAAAAACTGTTACTAACCAATTTATGGACCCCGTTGTCTGAATTAAAGATAAAATAAATAAATAAATTGAAATGTAAAACATAACATCAGTGGCACTCATTGACTTACAAATAAATGGACGATGGGTCTAATACAAAAACCACGAAAAAATGTCCCAAGTCAACCTATTTAAACGTAGTGACATGTAAAGGAATATGAAAAAGCTAAAACGTTGAATTTAAATTGTAATGTCATCGTGTACTGTCTAATTTTGCTTGCTTCGCTGTCAGTCGAACTAACGAAGACTAAAGCGTGAATGACGCTCTGTATACGATTTTAACGCCCTATAAGTTCGGACACTTTTTAGCGCGGACCCGACGTCCATATAATTGTAAGTCAATGGTGGTACTAGAACCCTTTACCGTTATGAAGGTAGATATCCTGTACAAGTCTTTCTTGATACTTCAGTCTTTCTTTCACAGTCTGGGTGTCCCATTCCCCTGCACGAGCTTTGATTCCTCCTGGTATATATCTGCAAAGAAAAGCTGTAAGTAAATAAAAGCATAGATGTTTCTATTTGACCTTGGACTTGTGATGCCAATAGGGACTTCTGGCTACATGTCAAATCCGTCAACCAATTCAAATTTCTTGGACATGTTATATTGACATATATAAATCAGACTGCCTCCATGGCCGAACGGTTACCATGCCGGACTGCCACGGAGAGGTCCCAGGTTCGATTCCCGGGCCGGGAGAAATAGTTGTATGGCCTACAATTATTTCTCTCGTGAGTTTGGGTGTAATTTGTGGTTGTCTAAGTGTGTGTCCATGGCACCCGTGACACAGGGTTTCCCTAGTGCCCGCACTAGGGAAACCTATGTTGAGAGTATGCGTTATTATTATATTATTATAGACGTTATATGTATATGATACATTTGGGCGTTGAAAACATAAACATTTTATTGTCTTTGTTTAACTACTGGGTGCCGTCGTAAGCCAAAAGAGATAGCACTACATTGATTTATGTCAAACACGGGAATCGAAAATACGTAACGTCATCTTAAATGCCAACTGTCCACATTTTGCCATTTTTGTAGTACCCTTTGATAACCGTTTCCGGTTGTCAAAGGGAAGTATATTAAATGTCAAAACCAATGTTTGGCCAAAAGTTTTAGTGAATTATTCGCATGAATTGTAATGAAATGGACAAAAAAATTGACAGTGAGAACAATTAAGTATTGATAAAAATACGTCGCTGCAGCATTAAGTGCGTTAATACACGTCCGATTTCGTGTCTGATGGTCGGATCCGACTATCAGATCGGATTCACGCAATACACGTCCGATAGGCGTTCGATTCTTACGTCAGACTTTTTCTGAACTAACTGCAGTGTTGCCAATTTATGAGGAACTCACCAAATACAGGGAATTCCAACTCAACAACTCATTTGGGGATTTTGTTTGGATTACGCTATGTGGGGAACATCCCTCGCATTCTAGAATTTTATCATATTTTTGTTAGATTGATGATCACTGATAAAAACACAATTTATTTGTTTGTTTATGAACGATATTGATATTTTTTTCAACATCGTTGAGTATTCTTACAATTATATGGTACGAGCGCCTTCCGGTAGACAGATCAGACTATCGGATGGAAAAAACGGACGTGTATTGTCGCACTAAGGGGTGCGGCAAAAGAAAAGCGGAAATCAACTGCATGTTACATTACACTGGCATGTGTTATTTTTCTGCATATAAATCACACAATAGCCCAAATATCTCATGTAATTAGACTCATTTAAGTAGTTTATTCATAAGTCTTGCCGAATTTTGCTTTGGTTACTTTAGATTATTATATTAGATTGCCTGTTTCTTAGTATATTTTGATGATTGTTGATAACGATTATTTTGAGATAGTGTTGTTCTAAAACAATTCACTACGAGAGGTTTTTATTAATTCATTATTATTTATTTTTAAAGTTTACCTACAAATGAAAAAAGAAAGAAAGAATAATTGGAAATTATAGGACTGCTGAACATAAACATTGGATCAAATACCATCTTCGTTTGTTCTTTGACTTCAAAATGGAGCCATTTTGAAGTCAAATTTTAATAGAACTTTGAATGTAACTAGATTACACAATAATGCAAAACCATCGTTACATTTATAAGTAAATAACTTTATATTTAATTTTGATTAAAATGGCTCATTACTTGCCTAGTAATAATAGCTTAGTATTAATCATGCTTTGATTACAGTAAACTATATAAATTTGTAAACATAAAAAACAGTTTCAACATTCAAGCTTATACATTTGCATGTCGATATTGTCTTATGTATGATTATAGTACAACACTAAATCCGCCATTTGTGGTGGACATTTTTGGTTTAGGTAGGTACGTTTATTACAAAGATAGGGCAGCTCGTTTCCTTTATTGTTTTATATCGTCTAAGCAAATTTCAAATTTCCCCCCGCGCCGCCGCCGCCGCCGACGAATGCTACCGGTGCACCGTTCGTTTCACTTCAATTAGGCGCTTGTGTTGTTCAAATTGACATTTGTAAGGAAAACGTGACTTTGTATTCGAAGATGTTTTGTTTAAAACATTAATTTGTCAATGTCTGGCGTCGCCATTTTCACAACGCATACACAATACGGAAGAGTGCGCGTGTGTACAATCGGAGCGCCTTATTGAAGTGATAAAAATTTTATTATTTTAAAAAGTAAGTTATTTTATTTTCACTTTCAAAAAGTTTTTGAATAACGGTATTTGTAAAAACAAATACCATTATACAAATTCGTTTCACGGTCGCGCTCGCGCCGCCGTTGGTCTATTATCGGCGCTTATATCTAGAGCCTGATGGTAAGCTTCACGCCTGTCCATAACAGTTACAGAGCCACTCAGAGCTTTTATATCGCAAAGATCTGAGGGGCACTACCACTGCGCCCATCATCCTGAGGCGTAAGTTGACAAGTCCCATGTGCCGGTAATTTAACCAGCACCCTTACACTTCAAAGCCAGAACACTGTAATGCTGGCATTACCGCTTGGCCCCAAAAATAGGTAAGGTAGCAGTACTTCCCTGGATGAACTCTTTCACTACTGCTCATTCGTAAGGCAAAGTCCCCTGAGAAGAATGAGCAAGAATTCTTCCCTATTCGTTGTTTTTATTAGTGTATTGTGCATTTCATCATTTTACTGGTTGTACTTACGTCACTAAATTATCATCATTTTGTTAGTATTATTATATTATCATTTTCTGCAATAGCTTACAATGATTGTAAAAATTGATGTTTGTAATTTATTTACATTGCAACTGCTTTTTCAAACACGGTTTTATCAAGTTGGGTGAGAGCCTGGAGATCTGTCACACAGGTTAGTTCCTAGTATAGACTCCAGTCTCTTGCAAAGGTACTCTATTATTTAATCATTTTCATGTAAATTACATTATAAAACTTTGTACCCTTCTAAGAGTAAAATAAAGATTATTATTATTATTACTTAAAATTTAGGTAAATATGCTCTGTCTATTCTCATCTCTAGTAATAATACACATATGCCATAGTACGTATTTACCCCATATTACACACTGACGTTAATAGACATTTACTCACTTGTAGGCAATGTGCGCGCCGGTCATAACGACCTGGGGGTGTAAGAGCACGCCAACGCCGGCGTAACTGTCGTTGAAAGCGTCTGTGATTGCGACCACCCATGGAAACTCGCCAAATTCTGCTTCTCCACCCTAGAAAATATAAAGAAAAAAGATGAGAGTAATTCAAATTTTAGTCCAGCAGTTATCAATATAAAAGTGCAACAAAGCGTGGGTCCATCACAGACGTGTTCTCAGGAAGATTGCTGTGTCTTTTAAACGCATGAAAATACATCTATCCCCGCTGTCTATCCGTTTATAATCGAATGCGTTACAGGAAAAACGTGCAGAACAATGTCATGTGAGCGAAGGCTAATTCATCGCTCGATGTCCATAACAAAATACAACCAGAATGTTATATTTACAAATATATCAGTGCCTAAATTGAAAAAGGGAATAACTCAAAATCGACACTTTTTCAGGAGAGGCAAAAAACCATACTTTTATTGATTATTGGTTGTTCGCATTTATTATTAATACATTTTATGATTTCTGGCTTTAGGTATACATCTAACCTTTCATTTAATGGGCATTGGTTAGACATTCAGTCATATTTTTTTAAATTTTTTTCGAGTTGCGTCCGTGTATATGTGTGCTTAACGGTAATAACACAACTTTTGTAAACAATCTTTAACACATAATTCTACTTATTCCCTTAACTGCGACAGTTCTATGGTTATAACAATACTTATTATACTAACCACATTGATAGAAGACTTAAAATCGTTAAAGGAATAAAACGACAAATCGTCTGTTCCGATTTATTAACCAATAGCAACACGGTATAGTCGCCGGTATGACCAATCATGTTCAGTGGAACAAACGGAATGGTTGATTGTACCTTTATGTACACTGTGGAATAAGGCAATAGTCGCTTTTAATCCTAATTTTCTTCCCCGTCATTAAAAAACAATAAGAAAAGTGTCTTTATGTAAAAATATATCTGTAGTTACTCGTTAAACTTCCTTATATTTTTTGAGTTGAGAACACTTGTACCGTTAGACTCATAAAAATGCTCGATAACTAAAATTATGCCTTTAGAAAACATGAGCTGTGCTCTTTGTGCAATAAAAAAACGACGTTACGAGATTGCTAGAGAGATGTGCTTTTGATATGTTATGAAATCGGGCACGCTGAAGCCAATGCCGTGCAATAAAAACAAAAGGGCATAACTCGTCTTATTCCGTTTTTCACTGGAGGCACTGATATTCATGTTAAAAATTAACTTACAGTACCGCCCTTAATAGTAAAATCCAATCCCTTGGGGTTCCTATAGCCACACCCTCGGTTTGTGGGCAATGGAGCCGGCGTCACAACCTGATCTTCTGTCCTCAGATCAGGAAGCTTGCAGCACACCTCGGCACTTTCTTGACATTCGTCTTCTTTGAATCTGAAAAGGACGAACTCCTTTAAACCCTTGAACAGTACAAACTACTTACGTTACTAGATATTTATTATAAAAAAAAAACTTTCGGGTAACTGAATGCATCCGAAGACCCGAATACAATTTCCATATCTATATAGTAATAAGATTAATCATCTATAATAATTTTGAAGCGCCCAGTTATACGACGCGAAAGATTTCACGCGGCCGCGTCAAGGCGACCGCCTATTTACCGCGTTTTCACATACATAACGCACAGACTCACACACTCAACATAGCCCCGCACTAGGGAAACCCTGTATCGCGGATGCCATGGACACACACATAGACAACCACAAATTACACCCAAACTCACGAGAGAAATAATTGTAGGCGATACAACTATTTCTCTCGGCCCAGGAATCGAACCTGGGACCTCTGCGTGGCAGTCCGGCATGGTAACCGTTCGGCCACCGAGGCAGTTAAACATTAATGGCGAATCTGGACTCTATTTACTAGGCAACAACATTTAAGTTCCTCGGAATGGAATTTAAATGTTGTTGCCGCGTAGACCAAAGCCAAGCCAGTCTCGCCCGAGAGGCTCATTTAATTTAAAACGTAAAAACGAAATACATAGAGCTTATTTTGCCTTATGGTATGCATCTAACTGCCATTAGTTAGATGCATGCGGTCGATGCCCGGCGGCCACGCAGCGCGAGCGTGATTAAATTCTTGTCGAATAAACGCACCCGAATTCAGAATTGTGTTCTTTATTGTTGTATTGTTTTGGCTTACTACTTAACATATACCAAGCAAGTTACATATGTATATAATCTGTTCGGTACGGCTGCACTCAACGAGTAGTATTAAGTCTGTTCATTTGTATAAAGTGCTGCGTTATATTTGTGTAAATAGTTTAAGGTTTATTTGTTGTACAAAGTATTACGCTAATTTGTAGTAATAGTCTAAAGTGGTAGAAATAAAGTTTGTATACGTGTCTCGTTTTATTCTAATAAGGATCAAACAGGTATTCAGTTGAAATAGTGAGTAAAATAGAGAATATGCCTGTTTGGTCCGACTCGCGCGCAGATGAGCGTATACGCAGCTAGGACGACTACTTATACACATGAAGCGGGGGGCAGGGTAGTATAAGTAGGTCGCCCGGCACAAATCGCCTGCGGGCGCACAATTAGGGCCGTAAGGTGCCACTCATGTAGTTTTTAAGACATTATGTACAAATTAGCAATAAGTAATATATATTAGAAAAGCATTTGTAATAAATTAATAGGTGATAAATGAATAAATAGTACGAAGGGAGTGAGGCATCTTCTGTGGAAAACTTTTGTGCGTTTTGCATGCTCACCTATAAAAGGCGCACTGGCGCCAATAGATATACAGTCCAAGAACAGCCTAAGCTCGAAACACATAGAAAAACCCGAAGAAAAGCCAGCAGCCAACCTTACCAGACAAAAGCGGCCTCTAGATCTTCACAGTATATATAATCGTTGTTTGATTGAAACCAGTCATAGGTGCATCCCGCACGTAACCAAATTAAAGTGTAGTAGCACATGAACTAGCTATTATATGTACTTCCAAGTCAATAGAAAGCGTCCGGTCTAAGAGTGTCTCTATTAAACAGGGTTATTTGAAAAAAATACTAAAAACCTTTGTAATGTAATATTAAAAACAACTTTTGTTACATGACTTTCAAAATAAAATAAAACAGGCTTTATTTTGAAACACAAATTTGAAACAAAATAACAAAGAAATTCATAAAAATAAATTAGAAGCATAAAAAAAAGCATGTCAAAAGGGTCCATGACTCAGCCTCTGAGAACTATGCTAATTACATAAGCCCTCGCTGTTATTCCCGTTATAATAGTTAAGCAACAATTGGACGAAGTAAGTAATCAATTTGAATAATTAATAAGTAATTTAAAAAGCGTAATACCAAACATACACATCAAATAACAGAAGCCAATTAATTAGGCACTAAGTAAATAAAATTAGACACAAGCAACAATTGGACAAAGAAAACAGGCAAAGTTCAAGTTAAACTGGTCGATTTGGAGTGAAACAATTGACGACAATTCGGCAATTGTTTCGAATTTGGGCTGGCCAATCTGAGCGCAGTTGTCATAGTAATATGGCAGAAATAGTGATATGGCAGAATAGTTTTCAAACAAATTAAATGACATTTCATCTCTATTTCTGGTTATATACTCGATGGCAGCAGTAAAGCTCCTTGTGAACGAGTTCTCCCTGGGAAGTACTGGGCAGTACTTTACCTATTTTTACCTTACCTATTTTTGTTGATAATTAGGTTAGCAAATTATGTTTCTGTTTTTTTTTGTTTAATTTATCTTTTGTTGTTTGTTGTTATTTAATTTTCTTTAATTTCTGTGTTTCTCTTTCAATCCATTTACTGTATTACATTATTGTATGTGTGTGTGTGTGTGTGTGTGTGTGTGTGTGTGTGTGAAGCGAGTCAATAAAGATTTATCTATCTATCTTCTGCCGCCAAGCAGTAATATGAGCATTACTGCGTTCCGGTTTTGAAGAACAAGGGTGCTGGTGAAATTACAGGCACATGGGACTTGTTAGCTATCTCAGTGGCAGTACCTTTCGGAACTTTGTAATTTAAAGCACCCAAAAGTGCCCTACAACTGCTATCGACAGGCGTGTCGCTTTCCGCCAGACGCACGTCTTGTTCGTCACGTCACTTGGTATTTTTTTTAAATGTTAAACTAACCTGATATCCAAAGTCCCCCAACCCGTTACGGACACATTGTTGGCGTCGACAGCAATATTCTCTTTATTGCATAGGTAATAAGGAACACATTTGCACGCCTCCCCATCTTTGTCTATAAGCTCTACTGGCGAATTCGTTGGTCTTATTGTAATCTGTAAAAAAAATGGTTTTGAATTATTAGAAATGAAACGGATACTGATTTGGCCGGATACCGGATATCCGGCGAGCACCTAGGCTGGATATCTGACCCACTGGGTTACCTATCAGAAGACCGTAATTATATTTTCCAGAAATAACGTTAGCTCGAATTTTCATTAATGAATTTTTTTTTAAACTTAATTTAACCTAACCGAACCGAACCTAATCGTGTCTTTGCGATAAATATCCAACATATCCTAAAAGAACAACGGTTGCGTTATAATTCGGTTTTCGGGGTAATGAAAATTCGAACAAACGTTGTTTCGGAAAAAGAAATTCGAGTTTGTGATAGGTAACCGACCCACTGTCGTAAACATGTCGCGATCGGTTTACAGCGCGTATCGCCGTTATTGATTGATTAGTGAATGATTACACTTTCACATTGTCGATTTGATTTGTTGTGGTCCCTTGGTTTTAACAAAAACGATTAATTTATTCTATAATACAAACAAATACATAACAGAAAAATGTTAATTCTTCTTCCTACTTCCATAGTAAAATGTCCTTCGCGATTCTCATGTGGGGTAAAGCGGCAGATATTCAAACCATATTTGTATTGCAAAAACGAGCGATTCGTTCTTTGTTCCGTCGAGGCTCTCGGGATTCTCTCAGGGAAAAGTTTAAGGAGACGGGTATTATGACTGTGGTGACATCACAGTACATTTACTCAAATATTTTATATGCCCGTAAAAATATACATCATTTCAATAAGAAAGAAGATATCCACAATATTAACCTTAGAGCTAAGTCCAAACTTATGGTACCACGATTTCGTTAAACCAAGGTAAACAACTCTTTTATGGGGAACTGTATACGTTTTTACAATAAGATTCCGGAGCATATATTAAGATTATCATTACCTAAGTTTAAAAACTACATTAAAGAAATATTTTGATTGAAAAGTCATATTACAAAATTGAAGACTACATGTTGGATAAAGATGTATGGAAAGACGACACTGCTCCAGAATCCACACAAATGTGATTCAAAGTGTATTATTCCACAGCATTTAAGTTTATTCGAAAAGAACAATCCCTAGAGTTTCTTGCTCGTTCTTCTCGGGGAAGTCAGCGTAGTGAATAAGCAGTAGCTTAATGTAATGTAATGTAAATGTGACGTTTTCAAGTGTAAATTTATTTTGCCTATGGAATGAATGACCTTTGACTTTGACTTGGAGTTTTGAAAATAAAACTAGAGTGAGACACACTTTTAAACTTCAAAAGTCAATGCTTCAAACTGACATATCTCAGAAGTGACTGGATGTGTATTGGATTCTTTTTGTTTAATTACGTCCAATTATTATTATATTTTTAATATGTCCCTTCATTATTTTACATAACTACATTAGCTATGTTAAAATTACATAGTACAAAGCTTGTACTGAATATTTGTAATTTTTTGAAATGTAACATTTATTTCTATGTGTAACGATTCTTGTAATACAATATATTGTATAATATAATAATGTAAATTTTACAAGATAATAAATTAATCTAAATCTAGCCTTAATTCTTCAATAATGTAATAATAGCTAATTCACTTACGTTTTCTAAAGGAAGCGAAGAGGGGGG